AACCGCTTGTGTTCCCTGAGTAGTGTCTTGAGTCCTTGAGGTTAAGTCCCGATCAACAGGTATAGTGTTACTAGTTCCTGCTCTATCAGGAGCCGCTTTCTTTTTCAGAGGGTTGAGAATACGAGCCGCATTCCGTTTACAGGAACTCGCCCCTTGTAGAGAGCTATCGGCGATCCTCTTCCTATTTGTGTTAGTGGAGGTCTGTCCGCTTGAGTTCCTCTTTCTAGCAGTGCCTTTAGTTGTCTTTGGGATAGTAATTTGGACTGAATCCACCTCAGCATCAGTAGTTGCATTAATTCTAAGCAGGGCTGGTGATCGATTTTCCACGAACGTTGACTCATTCCCATTAGCATAATGGACCTCTACCTCCTCAAAATGGCCAGAATCATCACTTGTTAACCCTCCAAGTCTCTGAAGGGCCGGGGTTCTTGTCTGGGAGAGACGTTCTAGTGCTGGCCTTCTAGAAACAGTAGATGGAGCTTCTTCCTCTATAGTTGGGAGACCCAAGGGGTAGAGCCGGATTTGAGGGAAGTTATTTGAAACATTTGAATAGGTCCCCATCTGAAGAAAGGCCCGATTTTAAATTTTTTTTTAAAAAATTTCCGGCCATGGAGTTCCGGTAACGGCGACGATGCTTCCTGTAGTTCAATCGAAGAACGAAGCAGCTTCTTGGGTCATCGATGCCACGTGGGCCTCACTCTTAAATCAACCGAGCACGTGTACTCAACATAGTTGTGTAATTATTTATTGTGTTTGGTTTAATCTAGCCCATTTGATTTTCATAATAAAAAAAGTTGCCATAAAAAAAAGACTTCTCTGTCTTCTCCTTTCAAAAGTAAAAAGACACATGACGATTCTGAAACAAAATTGAGAATAAGCTTTTGAGTTTTTAGGTAAAAATCTATTTGATTTCTAGGTATACGTTTTGTTGTTATTAATTAGCTTTGTTGTTATTTATTTGGGATGAAACTGTTCTTTTAGTCATGGGTTTTTCATATGCTATTTTTTTCTACTGTATAATTATTTCACATTTAAATTTTTATATTATAAAAAAAAAATTTTGTATAAGGTTTGGAATATCTCAGATCCGGCTCTGCCAAGAGAAAGTAGACTCTCTTTGCGGTTTGGGGGCAGGTGTGTGGCTGTCACGAGAGGGAGAATGAGAATTTTTTCGTTTCTATTCATGATATACGCCTTCTATTTTTAGCTGTTTATAATCACGATAAACAACTTTACTTACTTGCACAACATTATTGTATCACATGAATTGTTGACACCTTTTCTTTTCTAACGTCTTGTTTTCATTAGTTGAACAACTATATCAATAATCAGTTATTTAGCGGATGTTCTATACGATCAAACGCTTAAAAAAAGGTGGAAGAAGATACATATTATATTCAAGCATAATTTATTACATGATGGCACTTGAAGATAAAAATTAATAATGGCCGATTATAAACAAAATTTAGCAAATTTTCATGTACATTTATTAGCTAGAGTGAGAGATGGGGAGAGTAAAAAACATTGAATTTTAACGTTGAAAATTATTAGCATCTAATTGATCTAATTATAGACATGCGTGCTCTACAGCCTCTACTTTAAGTTTGGAGAAAATGAGAGAAAATTTTGAGAAAGAGAATGAGCAATTGAGGTTATTAACTTTAATTCGTGTGATTGATGTTGGATCTTACCAAATGAATAATATGGATTGGAAATGGAAACAACGTTATTACGTGTATATTGCATGGATTTGAACGGAAATGTAATTTATTTCCATGCAGAAATTTAGAGGCTGTTTAAAGGTGAAACGGTTCAAGCATTAATTTATTATTAAATTAGGGATTGTCCACGTGTTGCGTGGATTTAAAAATTAACATGGTAAAAACTAACTTAATAATTTTTGAGAAATTTAAAAAAATGCCACTTTTCAAGTGCCACTTTTCAAAAATGTCACATTTTCAAAATCTTTGCAATATGCCACTTTTTCAAAACTATTTTTTCATTATATAATTTATGTATGAGTTAATTATGTTGTATTAGGGTTTAGTTTTGAGTGTTTAGGGGGTTTTAGGGGTCAAAACATTTTTAGGGTCTAGAATTTTAAGATATATGCTTTAAAAATATATAATTAGT